TCATAGCAACACTTTCTGAAAGGGTTCTTGAAGTCTTCTTCCATATCTTTAAAATGTGATTAAAAAAAAAAAAGTGCTGTACGATGAGTGCTGCTTCTGATTGCCATCCAGCCAAAAGGTAGGCTCATAAAAACACTACCATGAGACTTCCGGCTCTTCCCCAAAGTCAAAATGGCCGTAAACAGTAAATGTTTTGAGTCAGTTCAGGATACGGAGGTAGCCGCAACAGCACAACTAACGACACTCATAAAAGAGGACTTCCGGAATTGCTTCCGAAACTGATACAAATAATGTGGTAAGTGTGTTCTAAGCGATGGGAAATACTCTAAGGGGCATTAATGGCAATGTGTCTTTTACCGTAATTAATTTTAAAATTTAAACATTCACTATTTTTCCATCACACCTCATAATTTGTCTGTTAACAGGAATATGCCATTGTTTGGATATACCACAGTTTGTCCCTATACCAGTTAGTGTTCTTATGGGTGGGTTCTTTCTGTGCTGTTTTAATGAGGCAGAAACTTTTCCTCAAAAGAATTGTATGTTCTGTCTGAGTAAATTTTTCCTTAACCTAAAGTCTGCATATATGTGTGTTAAAGGAGAGAGAGTAGAATGTATTAAAATCGTACGTGTAATACCACCACAATTATTACTTTTTTTATTTGTTTGGTACTGGGGATCAAACTCAGGTCCTTGAGCTTGCGAGGCAGGTGGCAGAACCACTAAGTTAAATCCCCAGCTACCACAATTATTTTTGTGTCATTTTCCCCCCCGGTTACCAGGGATTGAACTCAGGACCTTGAGCTTGTAAAGCAGAGTGCCGCTGAGCTAAATCCCTGGACCCCACTTTTTTTAACATTACTATTTCATAAATTGGCACATGAGTTCCATACTCCAGTGCCAACATGAAGTCCAGCTATAAGATCAGTGGTAAGTTGTAATTTGAAATTGAAATATTTCTCATTTCTCATTGTGGTAGGTGCAGTTTTCAGCTCTGGAGAGCATGGGAAAGTCAAGAAGAGATTGGGTGGAAATCAATACGGAGATGCCTCAAAAAACTAGTATTAGAGGTTTCATTTGACTGAGCTATCAATCTGCTAGGTATTTTTCCAAAAAAATTAAAAGAATCATACCACGGTGATATGTGCATACCCATGTTTGTAGCGGCACAAGTTTGTAATAGCTAAAACTTGGAAACAGCCCAGTTGCCCATCAATTGGAGACTGGATAAAGAAGATGTGGTTTTTCTATAAAATGAAATACTACTCAGCCATAAAGAATGAGAAACTAGAGTCACTTATAGGAGATGGATACATATTGAGGCCGTACTCTTAAGTGAAATAAAATAGGACACACGTGTAAATACCGAATAGTTTCTCTGGTGTGAAAAATAAAGTGTAAATAAGGTTCAAATTGTATAATTGATAATGTGAAATAGGAAGAAAAAGGCTAAAGGTGTAGGGAAAGTGGGAAGGGTAGGGTAAAGGAAAGAAGGAAATGGAAAAAATGGAAACAAAGTCTTTGTAAATAGGGAAGGGTGGAGCCCCAGGGTGAAGAAGGCAGGGGAATGGGGAAAAAAGAACCAAGGTACATCATGTAAAGGTACAAGATTCCAATGATGAATGTAACTGTACTGTACACCTAAAATGTACCAATAAACTCAATGAGAAAATTATAATATGTATAGCAAGAAAAAGAAGAGATTGGGTCCCTGCCTTTGTAATGCTAATTTAGCAAAGACGACAGACTCTCATCATGTATGTGCTAGGTGAGTTGACAGGAGATACTAACAAACCAACTAAATGCTCACTTTCTGCAAGTGTGGTTAATTTTGTTAAACAATACCTCAGTTGATAGGTGATACCAGTTAGTAATACTAATTATGCATTCAGTTAGTTAACTTGTCTGCAATTACATTTTGCACCCTTTATAGAGAAGAGGCAGGTGAAGAAACTGGCAGAGCCCTAGCTCTATAGTCTGGGTGTCTACATTCAAATACCTGCTCAACCATAAAATGAAGTTAAAGGGATATTCATAGCCTTGTTAGAGGTGTTACTGCATTACTCTTGTGGGTGGGTACCCGGGATCAAACTCATAGGAGCACCACAGAACACTAGATGACATCACTCAGGCCCCCTTCTTGGTGCTCTAGTTCCTGTGACAGTACCTCACAGTAGTCCTGCTCAGCTGTGCTTGTTATATCTTTCTTTCTTTGGGGCATTTCCTCTGATAGGCGTGTTCTTACTGGCAGGAAGTTAGATTTCCTTAAACACACCAGGCCCTTGTGATGAGGGAGAATTGGTATAGTCTATAGGTCTTGGGCCTACATTGAATCATTTTTGTGTCAGTGCACATCTGCGTTTGCTGGGGACCAAAGACAAATTAAGGAATTCCACCTGCTCCCAGATACCCTGTTTCCTATCCGAGGACCAGAGTTAGTTCACTATCAATGCACAGTGTGCACTGCTTTTTCTGTAACCCAAATGCAACTGTAGCTAAGCAACCAGAACAAATATCTCCAGTGAGAATAAGAAGTGTATGTTCTCACTGTGATTTCAAACAATATTAAACTTATAGGAGATGGATACATATTGAGGCCGTACTCTTAAGTGAAATAAAATAGGACACACGTGTAAATACCGAATAGTTTCTCTGGTGTGAAAAATAAAGTGTAAATAAGGTTCAAATTGTATAATTGATAATGTGAAATAGGAAGAAAAAGGCTAAAGGTGTAGGGAAAGTGGGAAGGGTAGGGTAAAGGAAAGAAGGAAATGGAAAAAATGGAAACAAAGTCTTTGTAAATAGGGAAGGGTGGAGCCCCAGGGTGAAGAAGGCAGGGGAATGGGGAAAAAAGAACCAAGGTACATCATGTAAAGGTACAAGATTCCAATGATGAATGTAACTGTACTGTACACCTAAAATGTACCAATAAACTCAATGAGAAAATTATAATATGTATAGCAAGAAAAAGAAGAGATTGGGTCCCTGCCTTTGTAATGCTAATTTAGCAAAGACGACAGACTCTCATCATGTATGTGCTAGGTGAGTTGACAGGAGATACTAACAAACCAACTAAATGCTCACTTTCTGCAAGTGTGGTTAATTTTGTTAAACAATACCTCAGTTGATAGGTGATACCAGTTAGTAATACTAATTATGCATTCAGTTAGTTAACTTGTCTGCAATTACATTTTGCACCCTTTATAGAGAAGAGGCAGGTGAAGAAACTGGCAGAGCCCTAGCTCTATAGTCTGGGTGTCTACATTCAAATACCTGCTCAACCATAAAATGAAGTTAAAGGGATATTCATAGCCTTGTTAGAGGTGTTACTGCATTACTCTTGTGGGTGGGTACCCGGGATCAAACTCATAGGAGCACCACAGAACACTAGATGACATCACTCAGGCCCCCTTCTTGGTGCTCTAGTTCCTGTGACAGTACCTCACAGTAGTCCTGCTCAGCTGTGCTTGTTATATCTTTCTTTCTTTGGGGCATTTCCTCTGATAGGCGTGTTCTTACTGGCAGGAAGTTAGATTTCCTTAAACACACCAGGCCCTTGTGATGAGGGAGAATTGGTATAGTCTATAGGTCTTGGGCCTACATTGAATCATTTTTGTGTCAGTGCACATCTGCGTTTGCTGGGGACCAAAGACAAATTAAGGAATTCCACCTGCTCCCAGATACCCTGTTTCCTATCCGAGGACCAGAGTTAGTTCACTATCAATGCACAGTGTGCACTGCTTTTTCTGTAACCCAAATGCAACTGTAGCTAAGCAACCAGAACAAATATCTCCAGTGAGAATAAGAAGTGTATGTTCTCACTGTGATTTCAAACAATATTAAAGTCAGTCATTGTCTCTGTTTCCTTATGAAAGGACCAAGAAGCATACATTTATGCAGAGTTGTCCTACGAGGATAAAGAAAGCATGAGAACACACCTGTAATCCCACCACTCTGGGAGGTTGAGACAGGAGGATTGCAGATTCCAGCCCAGCCTAGGAAACTAGATAAGAGAAAAAGGGGGCTGGGGGGTGGATATGGCTCCTTACAAAGGCCGAGTTCAATAACAAGTACTGCCAAAAAAATAAAAAAGTATGAAATTGCAACTAATTACAGAAGAGTTAAAATATTATCCCTCCTTATTGTAGTCATTCCTTTTTCTTTGTACTTTCCTGAGAAGGTAAGCAGGAGGGTGATAGTTCTCTGGAACAGAAGTGGACAGATTTTCACAACCAGCAACTTTGACTTCGGAGATCAGACACCAGAGAATGATATGATAGCAAAGAGGTAAAAAAAAAGTTCACACAAGAGGTCTGATCATCTTTGAAAGAGTATGAAGTTCCACCTTTTCCTTCATCCAAATTGAAGGCCTATGCATCAACCACTGTAGTAGCTGCTGTGGATACAACATAAATAAAAAAACAAAATGTCTGATCTTATGGGCATAGCATTCCACAGCGGGGATTCAGACAGCGGAGATACGAGGCAGCAATAAAAACACATCTGGTCAGTATGCAGAGAGTGATTGTGTGCTAGCCACAACTTAGCCTAGGCAGAGCAGACCCTCCTGATGAGGAGATAAGAAGTGAGTTGTGCAACACCAGGATAAAGTTGCGGGAAAACTAAACGCAGAAATCCTGAGGCAGCAGTGTGTTTGGGTACTTTTAATACTGAGAATGTGTTTTGGTGGCTTAGGGAGAGGTCAGGCAGATGAAGAATCACACAAGGCCCTTCCTGTCCAGGTCTGTTTGTTCCTCCACCCAGTGAGAGTAAATGAAATTCATAATCATTGGCATTGGTTTACTAATTTGTGAAATTAATGTCTCTTGAGTTGGGGTAATGAAAGTGTTGGAAATTAGAATGAGAAGCCCTTGTTATTCCAGGTGTCTGACCTCTGCATGACACAGCACAGTAAGCATCCCTTTATCTTCTCTCTTTTTATCCTAATCCTTTTTTTGTTTGCTCTTCTCCCTAGGATTCCATAAGTAGGAGCCATCTTAGAAGTCAGATCTGGATAGGCAAGAGCCAAGAGAACAGCTACAATGACTTCAAGAGTTCTGGTGGACATCCGAGAGGAGGTCACCTGTCCCATCTGCCTGGAGCTCCTGACAGAACCTTTGAGCATAGATTGTGGCCACAGCTTCTGCCAAGCCTGCATCACAGAGAACACTAAGAAATCAGTGACCAGCCAAGAAGAGAGCAGCTGTCCTGTGTGCCAGACCAGCTACCAGTCCCAGAACCTGCGCCCTAATCGGCACCTGGCCAACATAGCAGAGAGGCTCAAAGAAGTAATATTGGGACCAGGAAAGCAGCCACAGGTCATTCTTTGTGCACGCCATGGAGAGAAACTCCAGCTCTTCTGTAAGGAGGATGGAACGCTAATTTGCTGGCTTTGCGAGCGTTCTCAGGAGCACCGTGGGCACCACACATTCCTCATGGAGGAGGTAGCCCAGGAGTACCAGGTATGAGCCCAGGATGGGGAGGAATGGGGTCCTTGGTAGGAGATTTTTAAGTTTGCATTGTGCTTCCATCTGATTTCTTTTCATTCCTCTCATTTACCTGGGATCTGAACCTAGAAAGTGCCCGCCCTCCTGAACAAGTGCAGAGGTGTTGTCTCTTACTTACTGCACAGGATTTAGTAAAAGGAGCTGCTTGGGGTAAAGCTGGAGTGCTCCGCTGGGTTGAGTGTGGGAGATACGTTGGCAGTAAAAGTGCTTTGGAGTCAAGTTCTTGCCCCAGGAGAAGGAAAATCAGCCCGTTCCATCCCTTGTGTTTAAAAGATACTTTGGTCTTCACAGTTTTTTATCTCAGGACTGGACAGGCTTCTGCGGTCAGCACAGACTGCCTTTGTTTAGTTCATGTTTTGGTTCTGAGACAGTTTTAAGCTTCACCCTGCTTGACCTGATGTTCTTCCTCCAGCACATGTTCCAAGAGTCCCTGAAGAAGTTGAGGAAAGAAGAGGAGGAAGCTGAGAGACTAAAAGGTGTTATCAAAGAAAAGAGAGCATCGTGGAAGGCAAGAAAGTTTTCATTTTAGGGTGTCCTAGGAAAGGAGCCAGGGGATAGGAGCAGAGGGCAAAGAAGCCTGGTCCTATCTCTGTCCTGACAATAGAGCTGAAAGGACTCCCTTGGCCTGGTGCTTCATTGCAAACCTTACAAATGAGGACAAGGCTAGGGTTTAAACAGCTAATGTATTTCATGGAAACTTGGGTTTTTGATATAGTTGCATAAGAGATAAGCTAGGGCCAGTGGTAGCCCCTCATTCATAATTCTGGATCATAGTTTACTGTTTCCAATCTCTGTTCTTCTGAAAATGCTAAGTTAGTCACAGGCTGCTAATTCCTATCTAGTACTCAAAATTGAAAGGGGAGGCTGATGCAGAGGTGTGAGAGGTTAGAGAGGCTGCCTGAAATCTAGACCTCACCCAGAAGTCACAATCTGAATCTAAAAGAGTTAGCTGAGGCAGCCTGAGGCTAATGACCTGGGAAGAGCAGAAGGGAGAAAAAGGGAAGATGGAATTCCACAGGCAGCGTTTCTCCTCTCCATGGAAACCAGCCTGAGTCACCCATAGCAGCCTCTTTTTCTTCCCTGATGTTGAAGAATCAGATGGAGCCTGAGAGACACAGGATCCAGAAAGAGTTTAATCAGCTGCGAAACATCCTGGACAGAGAGGAGCAGCGGGAACTGAGGAAGCTGGAGGAAGAAGAGAGAAAGGGGCTGAGTGTTATAGAGAAAGCTGAGGGTGAGGTGACCCGCCAGAGCCAGGCCCTGAGGGAGCTCATCTCAGATCTGGAGTACCGGTGCCAGGGCTCCACAGTGGATCTGCTGCAGGTAAAACTTGTGTGGCCCCCACCCCATCCCCCACATCTTAGGGTCCAGGAATAAATAACTTTCCTTTCTTTCTGGGACCTAGGACTATCATCCTGGTGAAGGTAGAAAATGCCTCTTCCCTTCTGAACTGTGCAGAGGTCGTGGGGCAAACATCAGACAATTTCAGAGTGCACAGCCCTGTTTTTTATTACTTAGGACAATTTGAAATTGAGGTCTGTTTCATCCAGTGATGTTCTGTGGGAGTGTCCTTCAGTCAAAGCACTATTGATACTTTGTGCTAGATAAATGTTGTGAGACCCCTATACGTAATAGGATATTTAGGAACATCCTTGGTCTCTACCTGCTAAATCTCCAAGCACTCCAGCCGGATATAACCGTCAAAACCCCTCCTGACATTGCCATGTATCCCCAGGCAGGGCTTGGCTAATTCCACCCCAATAGAGAACCACTCTTCATTAGGTACCGCTTGTCTGTGTTGCTGTACAGGGAGTTTGTCGTGTAGTTTTTGTTCACTTTAGTCACGAGAAAACACATCAAATACAAGTTTTTAAAGATTATGTAATACCAGCCCTTCTCTCTAATCCCTGTCTTCCCTAGGGCAGAATCACTTGACATATTGGAATTATAAATGTTTAAGTATTTAAATTTGGGGCTGGGCTTGTGTGTGTGTGGTTTAGAAGGCTGCAAAATATTAAATCTGCAGAAATCTGGGAAATTTGAACTGAAGTTGAAACTTGAAGCGAGGGTGGAATTTGAATAGTGTCACTACAAACTCATAGCACAGTGTACCGTGAAATATCCTGGAGCCTTCAGGCTGTTTCTTTTTTTTTTGTTTTTGTTTCCTTCAATTAAATTTTTTTTTAATTTAATTTATTGGTACACTCTAGGTAGACAGTACAGTTACATTCATCACTGGGATCTTGTACCTTTACATGCCAGTTCTTGGTTCTCATTTTTTCCCCTTGTCCCCACCCTCCCTTCACTCTTCTCTCCCCTCCCCCCCCTCCAACACTTTAATTCCATTTTTACATTTTCTCTCTCTTTTTTTTTTTTTTTTTTAGGCTGTTATTTTCTGTTTTCCTTCTTGCCTTCCTCCTGCACTTCCTGTGCTATGGAGTAATTATTTTCTTTACTTATTTTGAAGTGCTAGCATTGGAGTCATGGAATTGTAACTTTCCAGGTATTAGGTTTTATTCTTGTTTATCCTCATTTTTTTTTTTTTTTTTTGAAGTAGGGCTCGAACTTGGGTCCTTGTGCTTGTGAGGTTGGCGGCAGCCCCTTATCCTCATTTTTGATGTTGTTACTCTAATATTTTCTCCTTCACCCTTTTCTAGCTCCTCCACAGATTCCTCAAACTCTAAACGTTTTTCCTTAATTGCAGAGGAATCATCTGTTTATACTGCTAGTTCAGGTAGTTCATGCTCATTAGTATGACTAATGTTGTGTGGATGTTTAAAAGTTTTATTTCATTAGTGTGTGCTTGCAGTACATAATGATTACATTCCTGTGAGGAATTGGCACAAGTGCCTAGCACTTCTCAATTCTCTTTTTTCCCTTTCCCCTCTACCCTCCTCACCTTTTTTGCCAGCATCAGATTCATTTATTTATCTTATAAGTCCTTATAAAGTTAATTATCATACATACAGATTAACTGCCAGACTGCATTTTATTTTATTTTAATTTTTTGGTACCAGGGATCAAACTCAGGACCTTGCTCTTGCTAGGGAGGCAGCATAACCACTGAGCTAAATCCCCAGCCCCAGACTGCATTTTTTTTTTTTTTTTGAGAATTTTTCAGTTTAATCTTGGCTGTGTCGATATTTAACAATAATAATTTTTTCCTTCTCATTGAGTTTATTGGTATATTTTAGGTATACAGTACAGTTATATTCATCATTGGGATCTTGTATCTTTACATGACAGGTCTTGATTCTCATTTTTTCCCCTTACCCCTGCCCCCCTCCTTCCTTCCCTATTTACAGATACTTTATTTTCATTTTTTCAGACTGCATTTTTAATTGAATGTTATCTGATGATTGATTCTCTAGAATTCTCCTCTCCCAGACATCTTGGTTCTCTTTTCCACACCTTTATTACATGGTTGCTCATTAAAAGTTGATCCCCAAGGTATAAGCTTCAAAATGAGCAGTGAGAATCAAACCAGTGTAAGAGAAAGAGCCATGTAGTGGCACACTGGTTTGATCAGTTAAATTCCTCAGGGCAGCCATGATTTAGGATATAGTTCTGCTACTTGGTATGAATTAATACCCCCAATGCCTCCACTGTTTTCTGTCTTAAACTCATTTCAAGTTGTGTTCTGAGAAACATAGCCCAAAATAACCCCAATACAGAGAAAATTGTTATCCTTGTGGAATATAGATTGTTGACTTTGTTTCAGGCTGAGGTACAGAGCAGAAGTTAGAAAGCCAACTAGGCCAGGGATTTAGCTCAGTTTTTCTGCTGCCTGCCTTGCAAGTGTAAGGTCCCAAGTTCGATCCCCAGTACCAAAAAAGAAAAAGAGGTGAAAAGTATGTCAAGTAGGCAAAAAATCTCTTAGGGCTGGGGATTTAGCTCAGCAGTTCGGTGGCCTGCCTTGCAAGTACAAGGACCCGAGTTCAATCCCTGGTACCAAAAAAAAAAAAAAAGAAAGCCAAATAGAAGACAGTGGGGAAGTTTTACTGAAATGAGCCAGGCAGTGAGGGTGATGAAGGTGAACGGCAGGTGGCTAAAAGAAGTTGAGAGCGTGAAGTGAACTGGTTTGATGACAGATGGACTGTCGTGAATATGCAGTAGTTTTTATGCAATATTTTGTCTGAATTGGGATGAGGATGCTAATGTCATGCAGGAGGATGGAGACATGAAGACTAACTTTTCTTTAAAATTTGAAGTTCCTGTGTCTTTTGCGGGCGGTTTAAATCTGAATCCTGAGAGAGGCCTCCGCAGAAGAACAAGTTTGAAAATCTTGCACATGTTGAAAATCAAGAAAACAGTTGAAATCGGTGGTGAGGTAGACGATTAGAGGAGGTGAAGTTCAGGAGACAACTGTATTTTAAGCCTGTGTGCTTAACGTTTTCAGCAACCAGAATAGAATGTAAGCTTCTCAAGGACAGAAGTTATCACCCTGTCATTGTCCAGGCCCAGGCACAGTGTATGGCAAGTAACAAATGATACAGATACGTTACCTCACTCTTACACATTTGTAACAAATAAAGGAATCATGAATTGAGTCATTTCCTGGTGTATTCCAATGGGTTTTCAGGGACAGTCTGCCGTGGATCCTTATCTTTACTTTGTGGCCTCCACATTTGGATTAATTATTCTACATTGCTATCATAGTGGTAGAAACGGGATGAGGTAACCTATTACTCTTTGATGTAATCTGTCTTTTTCCTCCCTAGGATGTGAATGATCTCGCACAAAGGTATGTGTAAGAGAATACGAGATTGTGCTTTTAGATTGCCAAGAGCTGCAATTATCTTGTAGTTAATGGGAAACGGGAAAAGAGTCATAGGACAGACACTGGTGTCTCAAGTGCTCATTGCGAGACTCTGGGGATCCTAAAATAAAGGAAATGGACGAGCTTCCATGCTAGGAGAGTTTGGATGATGGGCCACTAGGAATGAATGGTTGTGGTGTCAATGATTCCCATAGTACCCTGTCACATGTGACCACGTTTCCACAAACCTCTGCCTGTTTTCAGCTCTGGTTCTTGTAGTTATAGCTGCCCCAATATACACGGGGATGTTCTTTGCATTTTATTTGAAGGAAGTTCCCACCTGCTTTCTTTCTCAAGGTCTGAGAATTTTTTCTTGGGAAAATCTGCCTTAAATGTTCATTTCTCTACCAATGTTGAAATAGCCCAGGAATTGCTGCCTGTTCCCTCAGACTTCCATTATCTCAATTCCAGTAAAAACAGACCTGAAACGTGAGAAAAATGGCTTTAGCCCTAGAACGGATTTTAATTCTTACCTGTCACAAGGTCTAGACTTTTACCTAACAAGGTGACAGTAAAAGCTGTCCACACACCAGGCACCCTCAGGCTCTTCACAGAAGTACGAACTATGGAGTCCGTCACTTCCAGTTTGTGTAAGAGCACATCTCCTTTCTCCGGCCGGAGTCGCATCCCTAGAAACGCTGAATCCTGAGATGCAGTTCTCTGTGCCTTCCTTCTGGCCTCCTCGAAGCTGGAGCCCAATCCCATAGACTTCTGACGGAGTATTTAATACCAGACATCCAGGAGCAGCTTCACGCTATTCTTCCTGTTAGCCCGGACGTTTGCAGCCTTTCCTGGTGCACCCTCTGAGGTGGCACCGACATTTTAAATATTTGCATCTTTAGAAATAGCAGAGGGTTTGCTGGGCTTTCTTCTAATCAGTTTCCTACTATGTAGGACATAAAATAAGGGAAATTGTTGTATTTTATAAAAACTACCAGCAGAAAAACAAAGAAAATGAGAGTCTAAGAGGTGAAATGTTACTTAGGCTTAAGCTAGCTTCTACTCCAGGTCTTCATGTCCAGTGCCACGGATTTCTGCAGAACAGTGCTCACTTCGGGGAAGAGTGTCAAGGTTCACAGTGGGCTGGGGAAGTGAAGGAGACAGGTGAGATGGGTGTTGGAGGAAGCCAGGGTCAGCATTGTGGGGTTCATAGGGCCTGTCTTCTTCAGGAGTGAGTTCTGGACCCTGAGGAAGCCCCAAGAGCTCCCCACCAAGCTGAAAAGTGCATTTCGAGCCCCAGATCTGAAAAAGATATTGCAAGTGTTTCAAGGTGAGGAGATTCAGGAAGTTTGGATGTGGCATTACTTACTGTACTGGTAAGAAATAAATCCAATAGTATAGCTGGTGGTTAGGAATAGAGGTGGTGAGGGAGGCCACAGAGGGAGGGATATAGTGTGCTAAGGAAGTTGCAGTATGTATTTAAGGGGAAGTAAAATTACCAGGTCACATTGTCCCAGAATTCCTCATCATTTTCTTCAGTCCGGTAAGGAGAAAGCTACCACACCCAAAACACTGGCTGTAGTCAACATTTTTTACTTTTATTGTTACAGCGCTCACAGATGTCCAAAGCTACTGGGGTGAGTAGAAACCATGGCCTCTTTGAGCTGATAAGCCTGATTGTTTTCTCATGCTCTTCTCCAAAGAAGCCCACATATTCTCTCAGGTTTGGGGTGTCTCTGCCTCCACTGCCCTCTCTCTAGTTCTTTTCCCCCCGACTACTTCTATATCCCCTCATCTCAGTGTGACAGATCCCATGTGTCATTTTCTACTGATGTGCCTTTTCCTACAGTGGATGTGACCATGGATCCGCACTCTGCAAATTTAAATCTTGTGCTGTCCAAAAACCGGAGACAGGTGAGATTTGTGGGTGCTAAGCTGTCTGGGCCGTCCTCTCTGGAAGAATATTATGACTGTAGCATCCTGGGCTCGCAGCACTTCTCCTCAGGAAGATACTACTGGGAGGTGGATGTGACTAAGAAGACTGCCTGGATCCTGGGGGTGTGCAGCAGTTCCTCTGGACCCCCACTTTCTTTCAGCCAGCATCCTAGCAGTCAGAACACTTACTCCAGATACCAGCCGCAGACCGGATACTGGGTCATTGGGTTACAGCACAAACGTGAATATAGAGCCTACGAGGACTCTTCAACCTCCCTGCTCCTCTCCATGACTGTGCTGCCTCGCCGCATTGGGGTTTACTTAGACTACGAGGCTGGCACCGTCTCCTTTTATAATGTCACCAACCATGGCTTGCCCATCTACACTTTCTCTAAGTATTACTTTCCTACAGCCCTTTGTCCGTATTTCAATCCTTGCGACTGTGTAGTCCCGATGACCCTGAGGCGCCCAGGCCCTTGAGCCGTCTGTTGCCCACACCACAGCTGCGTGATGCCCGCTACCCTGAGGCTCCTTTGAGAGCCTCCTCTCTGATACCTGTTCTCTGTGTTCTTACCCCTTTCCCTCACAACATTTACCCATTGGTGGGAGGGATGCACCCAGTTGTGATAGTGAGCACCCCTGGCAGTGAAGGTGGTGTGGGGGAGCTTTGGACATTTCAACCTTAAGCATGGTGTTCACTGGTGCATGGGGTCAAAGGTAAGAAGTTCTCTTCTGTTAATTTGCTGTGAGTTTTGTACTGAATGAAAAATTGAATTCAAAATCCATTCTGTAGTTTTTGAGAGAGAATCATTTGTCATTTTTATTGTTACAGGTACATTGATTTGTTTTAATTGTTAAATTGCCACAATTTACAGATATAAATTTGTTATATAGATTTATTTTTGCTGATACTTTGTTTAGGCTTTTTGGTCATTTGTGTTTATAAAAGAAATTGCCCCAGTGCCAGGGAATTCAGCTCAGTGGTTCCGCCACCTGCCTTGGAAGCGCAAGGTCCCGAGTTTGATCCCCAGTACCAAAAAAAAAAAAAAAAAAAAAAAAAAAGAAAGAAAGAAAGAAAGAAGTTGCACCATAATTTTTTATATCTTTGCCAGGTTTTATAAAATTCAACAATGAACAAAGAAATTATTGCGTAAGTATATATAAGATTGACTACTAACAACGAATCATAATTTTGAAGGCTTTAAATTCAAATGGAAGAAATTTCATTTCATTTTTCACTATAACTTCTGGCCTACCCTTCAGCCTGTATTTTAAAAGTTTAAGGATATGATTCGACATGGAGGTGCACGCCTGCAATCCCCAGCCTTCCAAGAGGCTGAGGCAGGAGAATTACGAGTTCAGGACCAACCTGGACTACCCAGTGAGTTCAAGGATGGCCTGGACTATAGTGAGACCCTGACCAAAAAGAGAGGGGCAGGGAGGAAGGAAGCAAAGAAACTTAAGGGTGGCAGTAAAAAACATGTACTTGTCAAATGAATTTAAAAATTTTAAAATGGAGCACAAGAGGAAAATGATCAATCTAATGCAGGTTTTTCTCTTGCAGTGAGAGGAAAATGCAAAGCAGAAATAAAATCTAACACGTTTTTCAGAAGAGGATGGTTTATTCTAGCTTTCCTACACCCTTTTTTCTTTATGCCCAAACACAGACACCTGGTAAATGAGCTGTATGACTTTGGTAGGAAGGGGCTCTGTGTTTTCTGAGCCAACTATAAAAGAGATGAGGTAGACGTGAAGGGAGACAGCTGGTTTTTTGATTCAGCCAAGAGCCTGTGGTGGCTGTTGAACACTACAAATGTGACTAGTTTCAGTTGAGATGTGAAGTAAATATAAAATGTACACTGAATTTTGATAAATGTGAAATATCTCATTGACAACTTTTACATTGTATATTGCGATGTTTTGAATATATTAAATTAAACTTACTAATTTCACCTGTTTTATTTTACTTTTTAATGTGGATACCTGAAAATTTGAAATTACATACTTGGCTCACATTATATTTGACAGCTGTGGTCCTGAGCCTGTGATGAAATTTCCATCTCTTAGGAAAGCCCTAAAGGACCCGAGTTCGATCCCCGGTACCAAAAAAAAAAGCCCTAAAATAGCAGCTGGTCTGCATTGGCTTTTTTACTCCTCAGTCTCCTGATGTATAGGAAATGATTTTGGGGTGGTGGACTAAGTGAAGACACAAGAGGAGTATACTTTATAGATGACGCGCTGTTGTAGTCAGATCCTTCTCAAGCCCTCTCCTGCCTGCTGGCCACCTTGCGTGGTCCCTCCTCTTCACCTAACCACAGCCCTGCCTTAATCTACGGAGCTGCTTGGAGAGGTCCTGTGAAGTGCCCCTTTCCCTCAGTGTCAGATGAATCTTCTGAAAAATGTGATGACTTAAAATTGTATCCTAAAATCATGAAGCCAGAGCCTGTGCCCAACCTGCTACATCTCAGAATTGCTCAGAGATTCTAAACTTGCAAGTGGGGAAAGATAAGCCACTGCCCCATTACCACTGAGAATTGGCTGCTGTTTCTTATGTGATTCTTTTCCGAGATAGTCGTGTAGTTAGTCAGAAAGCTTTTTGTATTGAGAGATCATTCTTAACTGTACCAGTATTCGAAATTCAGTAATCAGAAGTGTTCTCGTCAGGAAAGGATTACTGTGACCGAAGCCTGGTGTTCAGCCCCCCATTTTTCAGAAGTGAACAGTACATGTTTAGGTGTCAGAAGTGAATTGGTGTGGGGAGAGCAGGCGCCTGTGGGATTTATGGTTATGTTGGACATTGTGGGAATTACGGTCTGACTCCTGGAAGCCAATCTTGCATCACCTCCGGAAGAATCATGGGCCTTTTTGAATTAAAAAAAAAACAGTGGGGGGGGAGCAAGGGTTTAGCTCAGTGATTCCGTTGCCTGCCTCTCAAGCGCAAGGACCCAAGTTAGATCTCAGGTACCAAAAAAAACAAAAATAGCAGCTGATGTTCAGAAGGAACATCAAGACCCATGTTCATTTTCATGAAGAGGGGCTGGGATTTAGCTTGGTGGTGCTCTGCCTGCCTGGCAAGCACAGTGGCTTGAGTTCGATCTCCAATACCAGAAAAACGGGGCGAAAAGGCAATGGCATTTTCACAAGGAACTCTGCCCCCCCACACCCACATCAAGACGTTTTTCTAAAAGGTAATGGCAGAGAGAAGACTTTAACATATCCAGAAGTGCAGACTCTGAAGATGAGGACGAGATCATGGCCAGGCAATCTTGATTCTCAAGAGGCTGTCCCCAGCCTTTAGCCCTAGGTCGGGCACTTGAAGCCTCTTCATGATTTGTGGAAATACTGATTCATCCTCCCGCCTCAGCCTTGTTATCTGTGGTTAGGAAGAAATGCAGGTTATAGTGAAAGCCTACAATTGATTTGTTCTGGGGGAGAATCAATGGGAAGATCAAATCTCTGGAAGCCCAGCAGCCAGATGTATACTCATCTTCCTGACCTATGTGTCAACTGGAAGAAACAGGAAAGGAGATAGCAGAGGCAAACAGGTGCGCATAGATTCAGAAAAGAAAGATCTGAGTAGTATTCACTTCCCACTTATTTTCCCACCCAGTGAATTCCAGACAAAAGGAGTTGGGCCAGGTCTTCTGTACTGTAGAATAAAACTGAAGTTCACAGGACGGGGGATTTAGCTCAGTGGTTCCGCCGCCTGTCTTGCAAGTGCAAGGTCCCGAATTTGATCCCCTACCAAAAACGAACAAAAAAATTGAAGTTCACTGGGAAAAATCCAAAGAACTATATCCAGGCATCCTGGGAATGACCTTAGATAATCATGCAAGCCAAAGTATTCACTGGAATCCTGAGACCTGAGGAAGTTTTGCTCATGCTGAAACTTCAGGTCAATTACTAGTCTAAATTGGCAATCTAGAGATCTTTTCCTGTGGGGTCTTGGGCTTGACTTTTGGCCTCTCACCTTGACTTTTTGGTATGGTAAGAGTGTTGTAAGCTGTTATAAAAATAAAATTTAAAAAATATATGTTTCTAATATATGTATATTTATAATGGAGATTAAGAGATGAAGTTTTATATATACAAATTCTAGTGCAGACATTGCGCCTTGTTAAAAGGACCTACATGCCGGGCATGGTGGTGCATGCCTGTAATCCCAGCACTCAGGAGGCTGAGGCAGGAGGATCGCTGTGAGTTCAAGACTAACCTGGGCTACACAGTGAGTTCCAGGGCAGTCTGAACGACACAGTGAGACCCTGTCTCAAAAAAACCAAAAAAAAAAAAAAAAAAAAAATTAAAATACTTGTATACATGGATCAAATCCTGCAGTTTTTCTTGTTCATGACTTAACAATGGTGAGTGGCTCTGTTCCCTGTGGGATTTATTTTATACCGTGGCTCTGTCATTCCTGGGACTTTATTATTAGCATCAATGCAGCAAAAGTGTAAAGAAAACTAAGGAGGCAACTTTTTAAATTCTTAGCTCATACATAGGACTCAATGTCTGCTCATTTTCTGTTGCTGAGAATAAGAATGTGGCCATTCCTAAAAGAAAGGAAGATTTTTAAAACGTTTAGCTATATAAAATCAAATTTCTTAAAAAAAATTCTGGTTGAGCTACAGTGTCCTGTTAATACTAAAAGGAGAACAATAAACAGCCTCATTAAGGAGCATTCAGAATCCCAGCTTCTCTCCTGGAGCTGTTTATTCCATTTTATCCTACAGGATAGTTCTTAAGAAGAGAGTCGTCACCACAGTTCTATTCCTAAGTGAATCCATAGTAACTGATTCTAACTCAGAGGGAAAGATTTGTGTGTGTGTGTGTGTGTGTGTGTAAGCGTAGCCTTCTTACCACCTTTCTCATTAAGGAGCATTCAGAATCCCAGCTTCTCTCCTGGAGCTGTTTATTCCATTTTATCCTACAGGATAGTTCTTAAGAAGAGAGTCGTCACCACAGTTCTATTCCTAAGTGAATCCATAGTAACTGATTCTAACTCAGAGGGAAAGATTTGTGTGTGTGTGTGTGTGTGTGTGTAAGCGTAGCCTTCTTACCACCTTTTTTACTCAGAAGTGTGCTCCTGCCCTTTGGTAATCCCTCCTTTTCCCGCCCCTCTCCACTGCTGTCCTCAGCAAACACTGCTCTGGTTTGTCACGATATCTTGCATTTCCTAGAATTTTATATAAATCAAATCATACATTATTGTCTGGTTTCCTCTATTCACCAAATCATTGCTTCTTTTAAGAGCCAATTCTATTGTTCAGTAGTTTCCCACCCTGTGTATATATAATGATTCACTTGTTTGGTAGATGCAGATTATGTCACCCCTTTTTGCTACCACAAGTATAATTTACGAACATTTGTTGTAAGTCTTTCAATAACTATGCTTTCATTTCTTGGGTCAACGGCTAATATTGAAATTAGGCTGAATAGTATGTATATGATTCATTTTTTTTAAAAGCTTCCAAG